GGGGGGGTGAGCACAGCAGCATAGTTGCCGTGCAGCTGCAGAGGCCTGATAGCGCTATCTGATTGTGAGCGTGCCGTCTCCCTCCAAGGCTCGCTCAGGAGAGAATGGAAGGCAAGATCAAGGATGACAGCGGAAAAATGGCATTTTATCTGAAAATAGTTCAAAGTTTATAAATAAAATAAAGCTTTTTTTTCTGTGTGACTGGGAGAAGGAGATAAAAAAAAAAAGCAGCTCGCGCCGGCTTCAGATGCTTCCTTGCCCCGGCGAAAAATGGCATTTTATCTGAAAATAGTTCAAAGTTTATAAATAAAATAAAGCTTTTTTTTCTGTGTGACTGGGAGAAGGAGATAAAAAAAAAAAGCAGCTCGCGCCGTCTTCAGATGCTTCCTTGCCCAGGCTGTGTCCTTTCGCTACTTCCTCTTCTCTTTTTCTGCCGCCCCCCCCCCCCAACACCCTCTCCTACTCGACTTCAACAATTTAAAAAGATGCATTTTTACACAAAACCCTGCAAAAGGAGATTAGGTGCGCTGAAGTAACGCGCCTCTTCTTTTCAACCCGCGTTCACACGATCACAACTCTGCAAGTTGGCTTTGATGATCAAGTCGGCCACAAAAGAGCGCCTTTGCGGTCTTCCCCGAGTGTGAGATTGTTGATTTGGGAAGCCGTAAACACATTTTTTACCGGTGGCTTCAACGAGCTACTGTGTCACTGAGATCGACAAGCTTGGAGCAGCACTTGCATTCGTTCTGCGTTCAGTCTGATGTCGTCTCGTTTGTTGTACGGCTGAATGCAAATCTGTTGGAGGCGGATCCCAAATTGCTTTGGGGTTGAAACCAATTTTACGACAGGGACTATTGAATGTACACCAGGTTTGAACCATCGGAATGATAACGTCTTAATTAACAATACAGGCAAGTGTGAGGAACTTTTGACCGCTGTCAGCTGTTCAGGACAGTTGCAAAAAAAAAAAAAGTGAACCGCTGACTCTTACTGTTGGTGATCTAAATCTGCCGACTTGACTTCAGGTTTGCAACTTGGCATCCATCCGTCCATTTTCTGGACAGCTTATCCTCATGAAGGTCAAGGGGGAGCTGGGTCCAGAGCCCAACCCCAGAAAAAAAACCTCAGGGTTTTTCTTCTTTGTCGTTGTCGTCCTCCTTCCGTCGTCATCTTCGTCTTTCGTCAACCTTCGTCGCCGAACCTTCGACAAGCCCTCCTCGCCGCCCATCTTTGAAACGCGTCTTAAAACTCCTTCCTCATCTTTGGCGTGTGACTCAGCCTGTGACTTGATTTTCAGTTTGACTGTTTTTGCGCTCGCCGCTGTCTTTGTTATTCATTTATTGTGTTATTGTTTGTAGTCGTATGAATTATTTTTGCTCCACGTACTACACTTTGCATGCGGTGGGTTTTAAAATGCTCGAGATATACAGTTGAGTTGCCTTCATCTTCCTTCTTCACTGTCTTCGTCGTCTTCTTCTCCCGTCATCGTCTTTGTCTTCCTTCTTCGCATTCTTCTCTTTTTCTTCCTTTTTCTCTTTTTCCTTTTCTCCCTCTCCTCCTCCTCCTTTTCATCCTCATCCTTCTCCTCCTGCTCCTTGTCTTCCCTCTCACCCTCCATCTCCTCCTCCTTCTTCTCATCCTACTCCCTACTCCTCTTTCTCCCTTTCTTCCTTTTTATTGTGAGTCCTCGCATGACGACTTCCCAAGTTTTGTGCAACGAGAGTGATAGAATGGAAGGCATGGCTCGGGTTTAACCGTAGGTCTTTCTTTCAAAGCCTCTGTGGTTAAAGGGTCGTTTGCGAGTTCACTTTTTGATAGGAAACCCGTTTTGCTTCGAAAGGTGAATTTCCAACTCTCCAGTGTGATGGACCTGTACACCACCAGTTTATCTCTGGCCGGCATCAGCCCACCTGATGATCGAGCCCTGGATGGACTGGACCTGACCCCCGTTCTCCTGAACAGCTCGCACGTACTGCACCATCGGTAAATGTATAATTACTGGCGCGCGCTCACACATTTGACCTTGTTCTCGGGACTAAGATGCCGAAATGCGTTTGTGAGTCTTTCCGCCCAATTGCGATATGTCCTCTCCACCAGGCCAATCTTCTACTACCGTGGGAACGAGCTGATGGCCGTCAGGCTCGGGCAATACAAGGCCCACTACTGGACCTGGACCAACTCGTTGGATGAGTTGAAAAAGGTGAGATGACCGTGCGCCACATGCACTTGATGGAAAAGTCTCAGATTAACCCAGTGCCCCCCCTCTTGAACTTTTCATCTTGCAAAGTCATTTTGGTTTCCACGATCCCACACTTAATCGCAACCGCGAGCAAGATCCATTAAAAAAAAACATCCTTGAATGAGCTCGCCGTTCGAAACCTTTGAGAAGAACCCGAACAGATGTTTGGAGTCGGTAGGCCCGCTAAATCCCGTGTGGGTGACCTCTGACCTCACCATTGATGAATAGGCGCAATTTCCCGCAAGCCAAAATCCTTCCAGAGGAGTGGAAGCTGTAAAGGAGGACTGATCGGGTTGAACGGACATCTGTCCAAACACTTTTGGCCATATGGGAAAATGCGTTCAAGTGTTGTACAAATGTAGTGTCGCATCCAACCCCTTTGTGGCTTTCCCTGCTGAGGCGGCGCTGAAAATGGCTCATCAGTTGACTGCTGCGTACATCCCAGTGTAATGAATACTAATGAGTAGGGCTTAAATCAGCAAACTTGCATCATTTATCAGCCAGTAGACTCGTTTGTTGCAGCTCCAGCGGAGAATTCCCCCCTGCCACCTCCCCTCGTAATTTACATAGCAACATTTCCTGCTGGGGACTTTTTTTTTTTTTTTTGAGATCATACAGATAAGCATGGCGTGGGGAGGGGGAAAAAAAAACTGGCAACGACAACTGTGCGCTGCTTCTACGCATCGGGACGAATGTGAAAGTCCATGTTTGAGAAGCAGTCCGGTTTTGGCGCTTTTGCTTCTAAGTGTCCGTCGCCGCTCCTCCCTCCTTTGCCGCCGTTCGGTTTGCTTTATGCCCCATCGCTCGCTTAAATTGCTCTCTCCTTCAGGGCCGCTGAATCAATAGCAGCCTCTTTTATCATCTCATGTGAACTGAAGTGGAACTTCACAAATAATGGTGTCTGATTGCCTGCGAGTTGCTTATTGATTCGTGTGAGTACATGAGAGTGAGAGGCGGCGAGGGCGAGAGAAAGCTTTTGCGTGTACTTTGGGTTTTCGGTGAAAAACGTCTTCGACCGGGCTCCCGCCAAAGCCGACGCTTTTAGCTGACAGATATGGGATTCTTAAACTGTTCCTACGACACACAACGCGCTTCATAAAATGCACTAAATGTAAATAGAACACTAAAATGGACTTTTTTGGCGCATTTCATTATTTTCCAGCCTTCGCGCCAGCTTTTTGCGCTACTTTGTTACGATTTAGCTCTCGTCCCACGTCACAAGAAATAAACAGGGGTGAGGTGTGCGCGTTTGTTTCTGTGCGCGTGTGTGAAGACATTACAGGTTAATAGCCAGCAGAGGTCTGACTCAAGGCGGTGTTCACGCAGCTCAGCCATGAGGAAAATGAGAAATTTCGCAGGCTTCAAACGGCTGCCGTCAAACTCTCTGCGGGCTTTGCGGTGACGTGAATATTTCAAAATACTTTGTCATCCACTGCCAGTTTTTGGATGGCTAACTTGCGGTCCTGTGGTGTTTCTTTCAATAGACTGCGATTTTCTGCGCGTGCCCCACGTGGTTGATTTTACTGCAAGAAAAAAAAATTTCCAAGCACGCTCCAAAAGATTTTTTTTCTCTGTAGCCATTGGCCTCTACCCACCACCGCCCCCCCCCCCCAAAAAAAAAAAAACAAATTTGGACACCTTCATCATTTGTGGCGTCAAGCAGAGAATCTACCGAAAGTTTGGCATGCCGAACCTTAATCAATTTAGGATCAGGATCTAACGGATGAGCCGAAACTCCCCGAGATCCGACCGTGCCATACAGTCAATAGAACCGCAAATGGAGAAAAAAAAATCCACATTGCTCTGGCCCAAATGTACATTTTATGAAGTGTTACGGCACAGCAGTTGACTTCTTAATCTCGTGTCATGGTTATGAATGTTAAAATATGACAACACAGTGCACGTCCGGTTAATCAAGTTTTAAATTAGGCAGTTTGAACATTGGAACACGACACATGACATTCACATGCCTTGTACCAAATATTCACTTCACATATATTGGTTTCATTTTTTTTGGGGGGGGGGGGCTGGATGCCCGCTGTTTCTCTGATGCCCTCGCAGCCTCGCGCAGCTTGAGTTTGAAATCGTCCGTCCCCCCCCCCCCCTTTTGGGCTCCATACCATTCGTGTCCTCAGAGACGCGAGTACTCGCTCATGTATGGAGTACAAGAAGCAGAGAGCTGCACACACACCAGGCCTCTTCTGTCTCCTCCGGGATGAGCTGGCTTTCTTTCTTTTCTGCATTTCTGAGTTCTCGGCTTTCAAAGGCGGGAGCTGTCGGGATCAGACGAGCCTCTGCGGGGCAGCGGGTATCTATCGTGCTCCCTGGCGCGCTTCAATATGTATTTTGAGGTGTTCTGTCGGGGCCATCTCAGAGGGGGGGGCAGCAACACTGCCTTACAGATGAAAGCGTTTTCAATTTTACTTACGCTCACCCCAAAAAGTGAATTTGTGTTTTTGAAGTAAGAGGCGGATCTCTGGGGCTTTCTCAAGGAGTGTGTGTGTGTGTGTGTGTGTGTGTGTGTGTGTGTGTGTGTGTGTGTGTGTGTGTGTGTGTGTGTGTGTGACTCCATCATGATGCCCACCAAAGTGCTGCCAGTGAGAATGAAGGAATCACTCAAAAGACATTTTGGAGAAAACATTGTGGATCGCTTTGAAAATGATCATTATCGTTGAATGAAGAGCTTGTTTTCAAGTGGATTAAAAAGGCAACATTTGAATCGCGCAGAATGAGCCGTTCCCCAAGCATCATCTATTGAAGTTGCTCATCGGCAGTGGACAAAGCAGATATGGCAACATCATCTTTTATCCCAAAATAATGATGCAATATGTTGCGCAAAATCTGTTCAAACATGCTTTCAGCCACACAGTCCCATTAGCTTTGAAAACTCCATGAGTGTCAATATCCCGAACAAGAAAGTGTCACATCAAGAATGACTGGAAATTTTTGGTGACCAAACGAAAAAAAGTGTTTTTGTTTTTTTTTTTGAAAGATTAATTTTAACAGGAATGGAAAAATCTCACCCTGAATGTTCTGAACTCCTGTTTTTTTTTCCTCACTGCCGGAGTCGTATTAGCGTGATGATCACCGCAGGTGTTTGAGTAGCGCGAATATAGCTCTCAACTTCCCGTCGCGATATTGCGAGTTGAGACGATATCAGCAGCACCCACTGCTGTTTGCAGCCAAGAAGCGCATTCATCAACAATCAAGTTAATGAACACAATTCCTAATTAAACGCTCATCGTTCCCCTCCTTACTTTTGCAGCTTCTTTTGGGGACATGATTTTAAATGAATACAGCCTTCAGGCTTCTGCTCGAAAGATGCGACATAAGGAGCAACTTGGACCCAAATCAACAAGTGGCTGAGCCAGAGTCCACCATCAAGATGTGCCACGCTGATTGACTCGGACCCAAAAAGTGCTGCAACACCGTGTTACTTTGAGGGTGTGCATATTTATGCAACTATGTCATTTCGGTGGTCTACTCTCTTGTACTTGTTGTGCATTCTTTTGACAATCATCTGGAGGGCCTCTTTGAAAGTCACTTTAACTTGTGGTTCTTTTTTTTTTCTTTTTTAATGGATAATGGCAGGCAGCCCGGTGGGCCAGTGGTTAGCGCGCCGACCTCACAGTGCAGAGGTCGTGGGTTCGATCACAGCTCCGGCCTTCCTGTGTGGAGTTTGCATGTTCTCCACGTGCCTGCGTGGGTTTTCTCCGGGTACTTCGGTTTCCTCCAAAAACATGCATGGCAGGCTAGGCTGATTAAACACTCTAATTTGTCCCTCGGTGTGAGTGTGAGCACAGATGGTTGTTTGTCTCTGTGTGCCCTGCGATTGGTTGGCGACCGGTTCAGGGTGTCCCCTGCCTACTGCCCGAAGACGGCTGGGATAGTTCTCCAGCACCCGCCGCGACCTTTGTGACGATACAGCGGATTGGAAAATGGACGGATGGATTTATAACGGGGAGACTTGAAAAAGGCTGCTATAGCAACAAGGAACACCGATCTACAGTTACTGATCAATCTCGGTGCCTTCTGGAATTAGGTGGTGGCGAGGATTCGAATTCAAAAATCATCTATTGATGTCTCAAAGCAGCCAACTGCTCTCTTTCAGGGTGTGAACTTCTGTCCGGGTCAGGAGGTCGCGGGCGTTACCACGCATGAGCAAAAGGAGCACACACTTCAGCCTCTCATTTTCCACCTGGGTCGAGATCCCGGGGAGAAGTTCCCGATCAGGTCAGTTGCTTAAAAAGTCCAGTTGCGGTTTGTTGTCGGGGAGGGAGCAACAAGACAAAGAAACGTGAGAAAAGGGCGTGCTGGGCGAATGTCGGCAGACGGTTTTCGCCGCGCTCCTCACGCGGAATGTTGATGAGCTCAATGGCGATTTCAGTCGCAGACGTAAGAAGGCGGCCGATTGATCCGCTGAGCCCCCAGTGCGCCTGAATCGCGCTCTTGTCTTTGTGATTGCAAACAGCCCTCTTCAAGATAAACGTGTCACGCCACGGCGGGTTAAAATTACGAGATAAATTGCTCGGCTTGCAATTCGGAGAGAGTGCGCTTTAAAAAGCTTTGGTGTGTTTTGGGTCTCAGCTCAAAGGAGCAACAAAGTCCACTCGATGAGGGTGTGAATGTACTGCATGGGTATACTGTATATGTACTGTACGGCAATACAGATTTGAATACATGTATCAATGCAGCTTTGAAATTCAGTAGAATTCCATTTCATTTATATCAGAGCACTAATTGTAACCAAAAATCTCGATGCAGCAGAGCTCGGAGGACACTGCTTATATATTCAAGAAAACCAAGTGAACCAAGATGATGTCGGGCAGCTGCCTCCTTCAACCTTAAGTTGGTTTGAAATCTTGTGAAGTCTCCCCCACCCCCCACCACCACCTGCCCTTTGCGGCTTTGCCCCACATCTTTTTTTTCCCCCGTCCTCATGCCCTCTTCATCTTTGTCTCAGCTCTGAAATGAGATTGGATGATAAAATATTCATTTTTGTATTGGCATCGTCTACTTGAAAGACAAAAAAAAAAAAAAGCTAAACTAATCAATGTGCAGCCATGTACTGAGTGCAGAGAAGATTTTTTTTTCACTTCAGTAAAATGCAGGCACGATTTACAGGAAGTCAGGTCACATATCTCCATTTTCCATCCTCCTAACCATTTCCTGTGAGTTTCTGCCACTTCCCTTCTCAGTGGCTGTTCCTCCGCATCCACTGGGAGCATTCTGCTCCGTCCTTTTTAAGCGTGCGTGCGTGCGTGTGTGTGTGTGTGTGTGTGTGCCTGTCCATCCGTACACGCGTGTGCTCCTCGCTCCCGCAGCTGGACCGACTGCCAGGCTGCCATTAATCTCTGCCTGCACCTAAAGAGCCACTTAAGATGATACAGCGCCTGTCTGCACGCATGCCTTCACTTGCGTTGTGGTCCGGGCAGTCCAGAACGCCCGTCCGGCAAACTACAATCGCACAATTCACTAAATTCGGTTCTCAAGAGGCTTGAATGCGCTCTTGAGGATCATCAGGCATGAGGCTGATGATCCCAACCGGGTTCAAGCTTTGCCAGTCCAAGTCCAGCACTGCGCCGGATGGGTTGAGAATCTTTTCCTGCTTCCAAGTGGACGACGACTTGAGGCTTCAAGGTTAACACAAGCAGAGTGCGGCCCCCGGCTCTGACGCTGCAGGCGGGCTCTTGCCGTCTGGCCTCATCTGCTCCCTACCACCAAGCTCCCTCGTCCCCGATCAATAGTCCTCACCCAAGTGCACCATTTCCACTCAGGGGTGGGGCTGGGGGGATTCGCGGGTAGGGGGGCTGTTAGAGGGAGGGGTTAGGCAGGACACATGCGTTTGATTGTCTCCTCAATTCCCCCTCCGTCTGCCGCTGTGCTCTTGATTGTGTGCCTACGCGTGCGTGCGTGCGTGCGTGCGTGCGTGCGTGCGCGCGTGTGTGTGTGTGTGTGTGTGTGTGTGTGTGTGTTTTCCAGAAATAGTATTATGAATCAGTAATCGGCATGGCGACACACCTGAGCAATGCCCCTTCCCCCCCATGGGTGCCATAAATTATAAATCAAAAGAGTCCATTTGCATAGCGCCTGCTTATTATTCCGCACTTTGCCTGCGCACCAGCAAGCGAAGGGTTATAGTCATGCTAATGAGCCGCGCCGACGGTGGCTTTTCATTATTTGTTTGCACAAGAGACACAAACAAACGATATAATTAGATTTGGATGCGGCGCTTTGCTTCCAATACGATTAGTGCGCGCGTGGACGCGACAATGGCAAACTTTTGGGGGTTTTGCGCGACTGACGCTTTGCCGGCGCGGCGCTTGGCTTGCAAGCCGAACACTCGCTCACGTTCTGTGAAGTCGCTCCATCGCCTATCGCGGAATGAATCAGCAGCACAGATAGCAGGGGAATGAGTATATCCCCCTGCCCCCTTTTTTTCCGCCGATGGGAATCAGGAGCAACAGAATTTGTGATTTCAGATATCCGCAGCAAATTTCGTCTGCCTTTTTAACCGAGAGCTGTAATCACACCCCCACTACCACCAGCACAACCCCAGCGATGGTCACAGTCGTTCGCTGATGACAAACGCGGAGCGAGAGCGAGAGAGACTAATTGCAGTCGGCGCGCTAGCACTCGTCTAATTGTGCGGGAAAGTCAAAGCCGAGAGCGTGGAGGAAGGGAGCAGGTGCCGGCTGATGGCGGAAGCCTTGCCGCCCTGTGGGAGATCCGGGCGAGGGGAAGGGGAGGTGTGAGCCGGACAGGGCCTGGGGTTATTACTCTAATTGACACTTCACCTCGCACGCATGCACACGGTCCCCGGGGGCCAATCAGAAGGCAGGGCTTGTCGCGAGGGGAGGACGGAGGCCTGGCACAGGTGCTGCCAGCGAGAGTATCAGGGGTGTAATTGCACTGCTGATATTTGTCTATCTGTGTGTCACGCCACCAGAAGCCCACTTCTCCCCCACCACCGCCCCAACACACAGCACAGACCATTAACCCTACAGGTCCTATTGAGAGCGGCGTTCCTTTGAAAGCCTTCGGGGGCTCCGTGTTTTACACACTGAAAATAATAATGCGCAGAGGTGTGGGGCCCACTGGTGTCCAACAGCAGTAATTGAGAGACGGGGGGATAGTTCCACAGTCGCCCCCGCTGAGTGGGCTTTCCCACGGGGTGCCGGCGTGTGCGTGTGTGTTTTTGTGCTTGAAAGCTGCAATGCCCCCCCCCCACACACACCCACCGCCCCCTCTCTGATATAATGAGTTAAGCTCGGCCGCCACAGCAGTGTTTCATCACGGCCTACACGAGGGCCAGTGTTTCACTTGCAACACTCCTTCTTCACAAAGCCACGACAAAGCGAGGGGATTAGGCAATGCGCGCGTGTGCCTTTTCAAATTCCTTGTAAGCAAGTCGCAAACAAGTCTTTGCGCCGTCAATTAGCTGTCTGCAAACACGCATCGGCCTCATAAAAGCTCTATTCTTTTTTTTTTCCTTTAGCAAGCTATTCGGGGGTTTTGGGCTTCGGTGCTGACAAATAAATGTTGCCAGTGAAACCTAGATGGGAATAAAACTGGGCTTAATATTTCAGGGGAGGTGATGGTTAATTTCAGTGTCTTGGCTTGTGTTTCGGCAGTGTTTTGACGAAGGAATACCAGGATGTACTCAGCCGCATCTCTCCAATTGTGGATCACCATAAGAAGACGCTGGTCGCAGGCATCCCCCAGCTCAACATGTGCGACGTTGCGGTCATGGCAAGTTTTCCTCGCATGTCTTCCCCAATACATATCCTGCAAAACAGACACAAAATTGAGTACAAATAATAGGAAAACTGTCAAATAAATGTAAGCTTGTGTTCAATGATGAATTATTTTCATTTTATATTTGAGCATTATATTCTTTTATGTGACAGTGACCTAAATTATATTGTTTAATAATTGCTGAAACGTTCTTATGTTGCTTGCGTTTGATTGGCTGAAGGAAAGCAAGAAGTGTTTTCGTTGCCGGAAGGAGGCGTGTTCTTGTTCGTTCGGCGGAGCAGACGTTGAAAAAAAATGTTAAAACTGCTTTCAAAGGATTCCATCTCTCCTTTTGCCTGTTCTTAAAGTAGGGCTATCCACTAAAAACAATGAACCCCTCAACTTACATAAACAATAGGTTGAAAGAATGTAAGCGTAATGATGCAAAGCACCGAGGTCCTCCTAACCCGAAATATTAACTTGCATGAGTGAGACAGCTTTTTTGAAAACATTTTAATTCAGAACGAATTTAGATTGTTACTAAAATCACCACAGTGATTGTGGACCACTCGCTCTTTTTTTTCCACTTGAAGCTCGAAAGAACGTGAACGGCAAACTCATTTGTGATATACTACTGCCCCCTTGTGGAAAACTAATTAAATACAAGTGCAGTGAACATGGAGGTGACCTGCAAATCAATTCATACAATACTGCCCCAAATCATTTCAGTATATTGCCGACGCAAAAAGACAGAAACCAAAAACCCAAGACGAACAGCATTTTGACCATGCATACGTCACGAAAACATAACCTGTATGATTTCCACAGCCTTGCTAAACATCCAGGCAATATTTTATTGTTTGAATGTGTCTGTGCGACTGCTGTTTTTTCAGAACTGGGCCCCAGCCGGCTGTGAGAAGTTAGGAAAGTGTCTCAAAGTGCCCACTTCGTCTCCCTGGAAGTGCAAGTGGCCGCACTGAGCAAGCGGGAAGCCAAACTTGTCCATGTGCCGAACTGCAGTTGAGGATGCAACTTTTGGAACTGTTCAGTGTTTTTAAATGTGCGCATTTGTTAAACTCACGTGTAGTATTGAATTAGAATTTTGTTCCATGAGTTTAGATTGCTGTTTTTTTTTTAAATCGATTTAATCACTGAGTTGTGGGAAAACACTGTGCCTTCCAACGCTGAAATTTGTAATCCTGGAAATATCTCTGAGGTCAAACCTGATTGATCAACCTTGAGGGATTAAAAAAAACTTGTTAGTGGTCTTAAAAGTCCACACATCCTTTGTATATTTCTCTTCATGTGTTTGCATGCAAAAATAATTGACTGATGGCAATATTGTTACTGTTCTTTTTTTTTTTAGTGCTCCGGCGATCGCTCGCACAACAGTCTGCTGGATTTCGCCATTTTGAATATCTTATTTCTAATGTGCAAACATTTGACAAATATCTTGAATAAGGTCGGTCCCTAATATGAATTGTGCAATTTTACATTGGTGCATGTAATTATTTCAATGAAATGTATGTTTTGAATACAGTTGAAATGTTTGGTGGTATAGTACAGTATATGCTCCCACAAATACACAAGAAACATGCTTCAAGTACTGAGATTAAAAAATATTTTTTTCTTGGATTTGCTTATCACATTCCTGATGTATCTTCATACATCTGAACATTGTCGAGAAATGTTTAATTCATTCCAGTTTTTCAATTCAAAAAGCAGAACACATACTCTGCAAAGATTCACTAGGGAAAGTGAAATATTTCATGATTGTTTTTTTTTCTGACATCGCATTTGCTCATAATTTTACAAAATTCAAGAGAAAATAGCATTTGTCCTTCAAAAGGTGCTCTCCTGAGTTTAACGGATCCATCAAACATGAGTTTCACTGATTGAATTGAGCAGAAATAAACGAATTACGGTCATCTCGATTCAGTTTATTGAGACGCATCTGCATGTCCGTGGTCATTTCCTTAATTGGAAAAAGGAAATTTGAGCTGATGTGATGACGCAGATGTGCTTTATAAATGAACTCCTTCCATCACAACAGAGGAGTAAAGTGTGACCACACCACGAACCAGCTGCCACCGATACTTTTCTCCAAGTGCAGCATCACGTGGGCGTGTTGCCGTCTGATCCACTTGGAGATAGTTTTTAAATTTCATCTCGGTGATTGAGATGAAACTTTAAATGGTGAGTCTGCAGAGAGGTTTTAAATAAATAACACGCATGACTTAAAAAAAACAATGAAAAGGTCAGATCGCCACTTCCTCTTTGTCCTCCACTGCCTTGTGCAACTCAATCTCAACCGAACCGACGTCCTGCTGACGGCCGCAAAAGACAAGCGAAAGTATTCTTGTCCGGTTTTCCTCAACACTTCATGTCGGGGTCACATTTGACAGCACTCTTACGTCATACATTCGCACTGCACTTCGATCATAAATATTTCAAAATATCATTCTGGTGCTATAACGTTTGGGTACAACGAGGCGGTTCTGGGTCAAATTGGACTTCGATTTACCGTGTTAATGGATCGTGGTAACGGTGGAAGTATGGCTATATTCCATGAATGTGAAAGAATAATTTATTTGGAAACACAATATTTGATACAACTCTTTGATCTTAAAACATTGAAACTGATAGCCATTCATCAGTGAGAATACGTGATTCCACGCCCAGATGAGCACATATTCTGATCTAACATTCTCCATCGGAACATCTTTGATTTCCTGACGGACCGTTAGCCGTGCACTTTTCCAGAACAGCACTTTCACCAAGCCAAGAAGTGAAACCAGACTCCAGAGAAAGCATGAAAATAGAAGGTACACCACTCTAATGTATATAACTTTAAATTATTATTTTTATCTCGCAGAAATGTTGGAGATAATGTCGATCGTTTATCCAAATGATAACTCAAAAGCTAATCGTCCGGCGGCCCTGCGTCGCTTTCTCAATGATGTGACATCCTGACTGAAGAGACGTTCCCATCACGGGATGGTCGTGCGCGCGCGTACGTGCGCGCGCCCGCGCGAGTATTGGGGGGTTGTACCCCCCCACCCCCCTTCCACATCTGGCCAAACAGATGTTGCTTCCGCGCTGTCATTGTTTCCGCTTCCACCTCAGAGGAGCTTCGTCCATTCCTTTTTCGTCGGAGCCCCAACGCGGCGTCCTCGCTGCCTCGCATTTTTGTTTTCTAGTGTCCGCCATGGGTGACGTCGAAGCTCCCGACTCGCGGCAACCGAGCCGCAGCGTGCTGCAGTCGGTCCTCCCCAGCAGAGAGTTCGCCTCCTCCAGGAAAGGAATGCTGCTCATCGCCGAAGTGGTAGGAAAGTTTTCTTGCTCAAGATTTCGCAGAGGAGTGTCCACCGCCGCGCGCTTTAACACAACTCCAACTTCCAAGTGGCGACTTAAATGTAGGTCAGTTTGTGTGCATACAGGGATTTCATTAGTGACGTGACGAGCGGACAAGGCAAAATAAACATTTCCAAATAAAGTAATCGACCTTATTTCATATGAAATACACTGTAGATAAATATGTTTGTTCTGAGAGAGAGAGAGAGAGAGAGAGAGAGAGAGAGAGAGAGAGAGCGAGAGAGAGAGAAAACACAAAAATATGGCCTTAAAAATATTTCATATTCGGTGTTCCATCGCTATTTCGCGGTTCAGTTATTGCGGCTCGATCAATCACAGATTTTTTTTTGTACGTTTTGCAGTCTTACCTCCTTATTTTAGCGCGTTTTTTGTGCTATTTTGCCTTCTAAATAGTACCAGTCAAAAAAGTTTAGAGATTTATTCAAATATTTATTTAGATTCATGCATTTGTTTATAGGGGTGGCAGAAGGGTCAGGCTAATTGATTTCCAAAAAAAAAAAAAAAAAAAACGAGACAATGAGAATTGGTCATCGCCTCTAATCAGCAGCTCAGTATGTATTTTACATTTTGCGTTTTAAAAGTGACTTTTATTTGGTGTAACCAGTGTTTAGAAGGGTGGGAACCGTGTGAAGGTGGTTCGTAATGGCTAAAAGGCTTAACAGAGGTGGAAATCCCCCGAAAAAAGGATTTAAAAAAAATATATATTTTTTGAAAGTTCCTCTCTACTTTGCGGAAATTCATTCACTTTTGGGGCTGGGGAGGCGGGGCGCGGAAAGTATCACAGGCGGAAAGTGAGGGAACACTGTCATGTTTTGTCAGTTTGACCCGAAACACAACAGGAGGGTTACCTGGTTCATTTAGAAAAGCAAAAACTTATCATCAGGGAAACCTTTTTTTTTTTTTTTAAAGGCACAAACTGAATTACAAGCGTCTTTATTGGGGAAAGTGTTCAAACTTTCAAGGAATTTGTTGGTCGCACTCCATCGCTTCGCATCATGAAACACCGTAAGAACAAAACCACTGCAAAACCAGTAAACCTGGTCCTGCCTTTACTCTTGTCAGACTCACACATTCTAAGTCGACTTTCTCCACGATTATAAAGATAATTTGTGATCATCTTTGAGGGCGCGAATGATAGAAAATGGATGGGGGGGGGGAATAACGTCAATTGTACCATTTTTAATGCAAGCTTGTCGTTCAGAATTGCGCAATACCAAGTCCACGTTGTCTGTACTTAAACGCAGAGCACACATGCAACATCAGCAGTATCATGTGCTAGTGGGAAGGAAGGGTCTTGTTTTTTTTTTTTTCCTCTAATCGCGGTGGTGTCATGTGACTTTCAGCTAATGTTGGGCTATGGTCACAGGGCGGTCATTCTGTTCCTCAGAGTCACACATTTCCATTCCACAATGTGTAGCCTGGAGCAGCGTGCTCACCGAGCGCACGACCCGACATCCGCAACGGAGCGTCTTGCACCTAATGCTCTGCTCGCAGTCATTTTGGACATTTTGGGTGTTGGGCATTAGGAACCATGGGATGGAAACCGTGCTGAGTAAATGATTAACTCCACTTGACGTGCTTGACAAATTGTTGAGGCTGTTTGAACAGAAGCGACTGGACAGACCGTGTATATTTCATGTCCAAGATAAATAACTAGCAACGAGCTCAAGAATCATTTTCGTGCACGCTACAGCGGCCTCAACGGAAGTCATTATTTTCGAGCTTGCCACGTTGAATCAAAAGCGCACGCTGACAGATTGGAAACGGTTTGTTACCTTCATCGAGATGGTTATCAACCTGCCGTTTGTCCACCATGTGTGTGTGTCCTGAACTCCTTGCGACAGCTTTGAATGGTTTCCAACTGGCCATGCAGTGTCAAAATCTGAAAAACGTGCACCGGAGGATCACCTCCTCTTACAATATTAAAAAGACCCCGAGTGTTACGATTCCATCTGTATCAAACAACAATTCCTGCAGCGCAGCAAATGGAATCATGTTAGCAAGAGTCCTTTTTTGGTGTGTACATGGAACGGGAGACTTCTATTTGGCCCATTAGGTTTGTGACTCATCGTTGCACTCACGGCGAGTTTTATGACTTTTTAATACCTGCCCGCTCATTCCTTTTAAGTACAATTTGTTTGTCCGCTATGATGACTTCAGAGTGCCTGCGGGCTCAGAGAAACGTGGGTCGTTTATAAAACAAAAACATCAACCTGTAACTCATGTGCCAAGCCAAGTGTTTTATCCTGGCTACTCTTAAAAGAATCCCAGGTGTGTTATATGAAATAGGATATTGTCAACTAGTTTTCCCAGCGCAGTCCATTTTTAACACTAGTGACGTTTAAGAAGTACATTCTTTTAATTAAAATAAACTCGAGAGACGTGTCTGTTCAGCAGAAAGGACCAACAACTCATCTTTGACATTTGTGGTCACCGTTACCGCTTTGTGTTTAGCATTCGGACAAGTGAGCGTTTGTGCCGCAAGCACGAGGGATTTTGTGTAAGAGTGAATCAACATTGTCTGTTTGCAGCTGTATCTCCTTACAGGAAGTCGGCCTGGAGCCGTGGGTGGATCAGATCCACTCTCAGGGAACCTCCTTTGCTTCCAAAGTGGGCGTTGAGAGACCATCAAAAGTGGACTCAACCTACTTGAACTCGACCTAAATAGTGTTCGGAATTAGTCGTGGCCACGAGCCAGATCTGCTTGCCAGATGTGTCCCCCACCCCGCCACCCCCCCTCCCCTACCCGTGTGTACGGTACAGATGGACACTGGGGTTCAGACGGATGCCAAGCTGAGTGTGGATGAAAGGAAAAAGAGACAAAGCAAAGTGGTGCAAGGCTGAAAGATAGCCATCCATGTCAGGAAGTAAACAGACTCCATGTGGGAAGTGACACACTTTGTAAATAAACGAAGCTCAGGAGAGAAGTTCAGAATGTTTTTTTTTTTTTAAGTCAAGACATGAGGCTGAGCTTTATTCAGGCAGAGAAGGGATTTCATTTCTTGTTCCTGTTGATGAAAGCGTGTCCTGCCTGTGCGTCTTTTGGTTCCCTCTCCACGTTTCTGTAGGCGCTATCCTTCGTGGACTTCGTGTGCTTCGCCGCGTCCACGGCGGCCGCCTTCGTGACGGTGCCGCTGCTGGAGTTCCTGGCCGCTCTCTTCCTGCTCTTTGCCTACTCGACCAAATTCAACGAGCGGTTTAAAGGCTTCCTCTGGCCCCTTATGGTGAAAGGAACGCCGCCCCGGGTCATCGGCGCATGTTTTTACAAGAAAGCGCCATTTCTGTGTATCCTTTTCCCTCTCCTAAGTGTATTTGCTCTTTTCCCCTTGCAAGGATTTTATGAGGTGCGTGACGGCCGCCGTCATCTTTTTCATCATTTCCATCATTGCGGTATCCAAATATGTGGACGGTTCCTCCAAAGCCGCCGGGGTAAATTTAATTTAACAGATGACCGCTTCTACCACTCAGCATCATTATTCATCCTTCAAGACACATTTTTTTTTCGATCGCAATATGCAAGTCTTTATTCCACCCGCGGTTTCTTCTTATATCCCCCTCACAGGTTTTTGGCTTCATCGCTACCATTGCCTTTGCTTTGGATTTTTATCTCATTTTTAACGAGCTCGCCAATTTCCTGAAGCAAGGCGGCGAGACCACCGAGGAGCCTTCCAGACAGCAAGGTATCGGTCCACAAGCAGGCTTTTACACCATCAGGATCTTTGAGGTTGATTACCGAGTTTTGAAAAAAAAAAAGTGATATTCGATGAGATATATCGATTTAAACAATTTGGATATTTACCTTAGAATCAACCCCTGCCAAGTGTAATTGACACCCAATGAAATTGGAAATAAATTTGAACCCCCAAAAATATATCTTTTTAAATGTCACGTTTTACAAGATCTCCCCTGACATTTATGGCAAAAAAAAAACTGCATGAACATAGTCGGTCACCAGCTAAGGATTGTGAAATCCATTTGGGTGCATCTGTCGATCTCCAGATTGGCAGAAAAAATGTCTGCAGACATCTGAGTTCAATTTGCCGAGTTTCAAAGATGAACTTGCGTGCTTTTGATTTTTTTTTTTCCTCCAAGCTTTGCCATTTTCCAGCACTTTGACAGTCCGTAAAATATTCTCCCCCAATTTTTGACAATCGTCTCTGCCCTTTTTGGTCAATAAGTACTGTGCATGTTCCAGTTTCGTAGCTGTACCTTAGTCCAGGTTCATGACTTTCACTCCTTCCTCTCGGACGTTGTTGAGATTGATTTTCCATCTTCTCTCAGCTTCACAATAAAAGCTGGTTTCTCGTAAGGCACACTTGTCAGTCATAAGTTCCAGTAGTTTTGCTTGTATGAACAATAACCCCCGCCCCACCGCAAAATGCATCAACTGTTCAACAAGCCCAAATGGGGATGTGCCAAAATCATCCTGATGGAAATGTTTTTGTCTTCCAGATGAATTTTCAGACTCTGATTCGGACTGAGATTGTTCTCTCCTTCCGCAAGTGACCAATGACAACATTTCGAATCGTCGGCCCCCCGGAGACAAGGCCTCAGCCGCAGCATGACACCACGCAAGGGTACAATCTTACCACGTAGAAAGGAAGTTACTGAGCTTTCTTGCACAATTGGGATGTTTCGGGGTGGCTGAGAGCCAAATGTGTGAACGTGGTGCTCAGATGGTCCTGTTTGAATTCTTCTGTTTTGTACACCAAAGAAAGAGTCGCGATGTGTTGCATGCAGAAGTAAATTTTTGGAGGGTGGGTGGGGGGAATCATAATTAACATATTGCTAAAGTGTGGCGTATAATGCTAAGTGAAGTTTTTTTCTCCCAAATTTGTATCAACGCAATAATGGCTTTTAATTGTTTTTAAAATGAACCCTTGATTTGTAAAAGGAACACTCCAATGTTTGTCTCAACTGAATGTGTAACAAAGCATTCTTTTCAATATTAATTCAAGAGGGCGGCGTGGGTTTTCTCTGGGTACTCCGGTTCCCTCCCACATTCCAAAAACATGCGCGGTAGGTTCATGGAACACTCTAAATTGTCCCTCGGTGTGATTGTGAGCGCGAATGGTTGTTTGTTTACGTGTACCCCGCGATTGGCTGTCAACCGGTTCAGGGTGTCCCCCGCCTACTGCCCGAAGACAGCTGGGATAAGCTCCAGCACCCCCTGCGACCCTTGTGAGCATAAGCGGATCGGAAAATGCATGGATGGATAGATTAATTCAAGAAGAAGCTGGGGTCAGTGAAGAAGTGGAATTTGCAATTCAAGTTCAACCAAATAACTATGTACAGATGTGATGCAGGTTGGCTGGTTTCAACCATGATACAAATATGCTGAACTTTACAAGTGTGTAGTTTTAATTTGTTGCATCGATAATGTTGGTATTACTTTTTGGGGATGTTTCTGTCTCGATAATGTCACATTTGTGTGTAAATTCATGTGATTCTTTCAGTATGTTTACATGACAGTGAAGTGCAGCCACTTAGTGTAGTAGAATTGCTAGTGCCTTATGTTGCTCTGTTTTTTTGTACTTTGTGTGTATGTGTGTGTGTGTGTCCCCTCTCTTCTACTATTACTACTACTGAGGAGTAACAGACTCAAAAAACGTAACTGAATATTTTCGTAACACCACATCAGTGTTAACTCAACAGAGGAAATTGCCACTTGTGGCCGGTTGGTCAAGCTGAATTTTTTTGTGGAATATAAATTGTGAAAAGATAACCATTCAAAACTTTTGCTTCCAGCCAATAAATATACACTGCAGTGCCTTTGATTGAAAATCTTCTTTTGTGATTTTATACTGTGGAATGCAAAGTTCTTCTTAACCTTTTATGTCAATCTCTATTGTGTTATTCCACTTGATGTCCTGTGAAAACCAGCAGTTATTTTTTGAAATAATAAATTTTAAAAAACCCAAATAGTTGTTTTGTGATTATTTTTTTCATTGTCGTGTACTGGGGCCTTGGAAAATTATTGCGTGACACCAGATGAAATCAACACTTGTTGAAATTGTTGCTTCCCTGATGAACAAATCAATTCCATTGGTGTAATGTTGATGGCAGAAGGATCCATTTTGATGATGACGTCTACAGGTTGTAGATGTTTCCTCTTCAGGTTCCACGGGAAAATGTCAATTACCTCATCACAGTGGTTACAGGAGGTCTCTCATGATAAATTTGTAAGCTAGTGGCAGTGCGGGACAAAATGGCAACCTTCTGAGATGGATAAAAATGCGGTGATTTTTCTGCTCAATTCTTATTTGACAAACATAATTTTGATAAGAATACCACAATTAGACTAGTTAGGGCACATAAAACAGAAGCGTGGAACTGCCAATGTGGAGTAAACATTTTGAATGGCTATGTCATTCGAACCTCCTGCAGTCGTTCAAATGTGTTGGTAAAGTCTTTCGAATGTTTTGATAATGGTTTCTTTTTTTTAAGCCACGAATAAGATAATTGTGTCAAGATGTTGCAGTGTAATGAATATTTATTGAATTCCCTTTGTCACAATTGTATGTAGAAAATGTTCATTTGTCTATACATGTGGTTACATCCAAAGTCAGGCCACTTTTTATATATTTTTTTTTTATTCGGGTTGGACTGAGTAAAGAGTTAAAAATAAAGCCTTACGGGCATTATTGCAGCTTGTTCCAGTTGTCATTAAAATGAGAGTGAGTAATCTGTGTTTTCTTGGGTTTTTTTATATCTCGAATGTAAAGTATTTTAAATTACAATTTCAAACCTAAATAAGACTTCGAAATTGGCGGAAGTTGTTAGCATGCTAATTAGCTAAATTTCCTTCGTCGTGACGTCAATGGATTAGCCACTGGTGTGCTTCGCTACCTCCTAATTGCCGCGCTGCTCCTCAATTTATCACATTTAAATCGAAATTTGTATTCCTCGGTCACGGCAAAGATGAACATGCTCATGCCTACAAAGTTGGTACGCAAGTGTCTGTTTGGCACCGTGGACCACGACCATGTCAACCGAGACTTGGAACTGAAGCTCCATCAAATTAGCCAGGAGGACACCCAGCGCTGGAACTTCATCTTCAAGACCGAGACGCCCCTGCCCGGCAGGTTGCAGTGGGAGAAAAATCCCGTGGACAGCGTCGCTGCGTTTTACCACGAGTCTTCCTGGGGCGAGAACACTTCTTCCGCCACTCACGGTATGTGAACCCTTTCGGAAAGAGTGAAAATAATTTAAAATGAAATAAAAAAAAACATTCAAATCGTTATTCGTGACCGCGCGTGGCATATACGCTCAGCTAGCTTGGTAGCTAGCTACCCAAGGTGCATCCACGTCCATTTTAGAAATTTGCTTCCAGAGAAGTCAGATTTCAATCGTTTCACTTTGCTGGGTATTTAACAAACTATATCTAGTTTGACTGAACGTAAAGGTCTACTTTGACAAAATAGATAATATTTTACCCATCTTTGAATGGAAAATCTTATTTTTATTTTTAAATTGTATATACTGGACTGTACTGGGGCGATTCTAAGATTAGACCATTTCGGGTGCGGATAGACGTCCGATAGGTGGGGAATTGAGAGTGTTGAAGGCTTCACATTTTGTTTCATCAAAAACGTGTATAGAACTACGCTTACACACAAACATTAAGTCTAAAACAGGTATGCACGTACACACACACATTAACACACGCATGGCAAAAGTGTACTAATGTAATTGCGATTATAAGAGGTCAGCAGTACTGTCAGACCATCTGTAACAGTCTCTTTGCCCGAAAAAAATGACAGCTAATTCTTCCCTCACAACATAAACGTTGACCAGCAGAAATGGGCCTGGTATTTATAATAATGTGTTTGAGCGTTTGAAGGTAAGAAACTACCTGTAGGTCCATATTCTTGTTTAAGTAAGGTATGGCTAAATGCTGACATTACTCCACATGACATGAAGACTCTGAGCACTTGGCTCTGCTTGTTACTCAATAGAGAAGAGGTGGGAGTATTTTATTTATTTTAACAGTGTATGAAGAGAAGGTGGAGATGGAAGAGGACATCTGTTCCGGTAACAAGTGCCTTGCTGAAGTCACCCCTGGCCCAAAGAAGAGGAAACTCCCAAAGTCTTCAGTGAAGACCAAACCCAATGAACATACTACAGGTAAGGGTTCGATGTGATATATGATATTGCAATAAACATAGAGTGAACACTTGCTATTCACAGGGGTTATCGATCAATCCCACTGAATCAGCGGGGCTTCACTATCATTAGCGTGCTCATGAATTCATATTTACGTTCTTTCTATTTCCGGGCAGATATGTTGGTCATGAAGGCACACGTCCCAGTAAAGCAACGTTGTACAAAAATGGAGCAACTCTCCATCTGAAGATGGACTACAGCATTTAGTCTAACCACTGCAGTCAAAAAAAAAAAAAAAAATCTGTTAAATCTAAAATATGACATTCTGTTTGATGTTATAACTTGTTATTCAAAATACTCTTATTACAAAAACGACTTATTGTGTATATGGTTGAGTTGGTTTTTTTTAAATTAAAAAAAACATTGTTCAGTAACTGAACCTGGTCTTGTAGTTATTAAATTATATATTTATTACATATATTTCACCCAAAACAAGTATCTGTATTTTAATTGTTGTATGTAACGAAGCTCTCCAGCTGCCCTCCAAAATGCCCTGCGATAAAATCTGCAATAGTGAGGGCCTCCTTTAGTCGTGTGATTCTACATCAAGTTCATTCTCAGTCATGTCTACACAAGCGTTAATTAAAGCACCGTGCTGTTTTCTAGCAGGACTAAGATTGCATCCATCCATTTTACAACTCACAGTAAACACCGCCACATTATGAAATACACAAAGGGAAGAATCAAACCAGTCTTTGGTTCAGTTAGTTTAATAACAGGATTAACATAAAGGCAACGTAAAATAAATACATGTAGTGACTCTCGCTGTATTAATGATATTTTGTTGTTCTACTTCTTCCTTTCATAACTTTGCTGCTGTGTATTGGGAATTTCTCCATTGCGAGACTAATAAAGGTTTTCTTATCTTATCTTATCTTATATTGTGAATGCATAAAAGAGAATCTGTGGAATGGGGTTGTATACAGGGTTGTTTTTTTTTTGTGGATAAGATTACTGGAGTACATTTAGAGAAACACCAAAAGGTGGCGCTAAACAGTAAGCATACACTCTACCAGTCAAGTGTTTCCAAGCAGGGCTTTCTGTGAAGTGTTCAAAGAAGTACGCCTACAGTTCATTCACTCTTGGGTCACTTTGACCTAAAAGTATTCGTGGAGTGTCAAAGACTGATTGTTTTATCAACTGATTGGATGCAACGGTTAACTATATGCTTTCAAATGAACCAAAATAAAAACGGAATGGGAAAAAAAAATAACGCACCACACCGCCCCACAGAAGAAACATTGTATCAGAGCAAAAATGAGAAGAAAAAAAAAAGCCACCCCTCTCTAATGGACCGAGCACAGGAAAAGCGCTTACACTGAAGCACGCTAGATTGTCATGCAAACGTTCGCATTAGCGGGGGGGTCGACCCCTGAGACGCAGTGTAGAATGGGGCCTTCCACTATGTGCTACAAACATACTGTGTGTGTTTTAAAAAGATCTACTCTGCCGTCGTCACTTCGTGAAGCGGTTGACGTGTGCAAAAGGGAGACGAGACACAAATGTAAATCAAGCCTTCTTGCCTCGTACTATTTACTCACAGTGTTGACATAAAATGAATTGAAACATGGTACTGGCGATAACCTTCATGTTTTTAGCTAAGTATAAACGCATGGAATTACTTCGACTTGTTACCAAAAAAAAAAGTAATCTGAGCTCAAAACAGACTAAGTGATTGCACGCAGCAAAGTTCTATTAGTGGCGAAACATCACAGATTCTACAGGCAGTCCGTCAAGACGAAGGAATGAACTAAATCAGCGTGAGTACATTCGAGCGATGAAATACACTCTTATCAGTCGTGTCTGGCCAACCGTTGGTGTCAGTAGACGAAAGAACAATTGTGTTACTGATCTGTAGCAACAATGTGGCTTGTTCATCATCACCGCT